TTGTTTACACTAGCATCCTGCGAATCTAAATGAATTTTGACCGAGCGGGATTGTCACGTGCCCGATGTGCCACCAGCCTGGTTCACCATCTGTCGCTGTATTTTTAACCCTTAACTTTGGTCTGCTCCCTTTGTCTTCGACTGGCTATCACCAGTAGAGACAACAGATTTGTACGTGTGCAGTTGATTTGGCCGGGCCAGACAGTTTCCGCACCGTACCTATGCTTGGAGTCTACGATTGGTTGCTTTGTTGGAGGTGATTAGATTCGGAACAGAACATGCTCTCACCCCATTACTTTCTAATCTACCTAAGCCTACTTTGATGGACAGTTTTGGAATTTTAAACTGCCAGCTATGGTAATAGTGATCATGGGCGTTTCCGGAGGGTTTTAAAAGTGAAGCGTACAGCTACTTTCCAGTCGGATTTTGATGCCAAGAGGATTGGGAACGCGAACATTTCCCTTACCAAATAAACTGAAATTAAAAAATGCAGCTTTAAATATTTCGTAACCGCATTATTTTCAAACCGACAGCGCGCCGACGACATCGTCGCCCGAGGTTTACCATATACACATTTTTGCAGACGGCGCACAATGCCCAGGGACCTATCGCGGCATCTCTATGGCCAAAAATATATGCACGCATCGGTTATCACTTTTTCTGTTAATTTTTGCGCGCGCGGAAGTCGAGCAATCACTGGGGCGTTTTCGACCGGCGTTACCTACCCTCTTATGCTATTTCGACCTCGCCTCGAATGCTACGATATGTAACCAGTAGGAAACAATCAGCACCGCCCCCTTCTAGTATCCACAAGAGACGGCTGAGGTAGTTTTGCCTCTGCGTCCATGATATGGGTTCTGTGCTGCTATCCTAATATCCAATATCGTTGATGAACGTACACCTGATCACTAACGGAACTCATGTGTCCCGCTCTGCCTTTGGCCTCCACAGAGGCTCTGACAGACGTAACAACTGGTAGTATAGGCAGATAGTATTGCCGGCTAATAAGCCAGTAATGGCCAATCCAGTTTCCCTTGTCTTTACCAGCAATACTAGCTGCCTATTAAGAACAGGTCAGCTAAAAACGCCACTCCACACGTTTCTGTTTCTGTTCTGGGTATGTGTGCGATCAGCAAATTGTTTTATATGTATGTCACGTTTTCTTGTAGATTAACCCATTTATTGGGGCCTTCCATGACGCAGTACTGCTCTACGCGTACGCCTTGAATGATACACTGGCAAGCGGTGGCAGCATTTGGAATGGTACACTTCTCACAGCCAAAATGCGAAACCGAACCTTCAAAGGTATGCCTATGTCTTTTTTTTCCTGTGTAGACTACGCTTTGTTTGCGGTCACGTGGATCGCACTTCTGCTCTACTTTCACCATCCCCCGGTTTAGCCTAAACTAACTGTCCTCATTGTTTCTGTTGGCAGGCATCGCCGGACATGTCAGTGTGGATGCCAACGGTGACCGTAATGCCGATTACTCCCTCCTTGACATGGACCCTGAGACGGGCGAGTTCGATGTGCGTGCCCCTCGCACTCCCCACACCTCACATCTCTTCCCCACTACTTACCTCCCCCTTTCTGCGACGTGCTTTGTTTTAACTCCCACACAGGAGAGAGCCACGATCAAATACTTTGACACTTAGTATACGGTATGGGATGGTCTACGCCTGTAACGCAAAGCAACTGAACCTTTATGCGAAAGAGGTGTTGATGTTGTGCCGATTTTTCGCACGGCCAAATTACATTAAGTAAAATCAGCTTAACTCCGTTAAATGTTCTATTGGCAGTTATCTCCGAAAGGCAGTCTTTTTGGGGTGCCATTCTCTGCAGTTCAACTATTCAACGCCTTCTACTAAAGAATTATTCAGTGATTTTCAGTCGACGAATGTGTAGCATTCTCAGCCTCATAGTTCGATGGGGAAATGAGATCACTTGAACTAGTTCATTAACTAGTTAACGTTTCCAAGCGTTGAGTCTGACGTTGTCATTGATATCCATTCATTGGCAGACGGCGGTAAAAATCCATCATCACACGATCGGTCAACTCGAAAAGTCCTGGGAAACTCAGTTCTACCTTTTGTGATGCACAGGCAATCAAACTCCACAACGGAACCCTTATACAGCTAGTGAAGCTGTTTTATCCATCTTTTCTTCCCAACTTCATTTTTTACTAGCAGTTCTGCGGAGTAAATCTACGAAACATCAAACATTGAAGAGTACGTAACATTTTACGACCGTCGACCTAGCTTTGCTACCCGATCATTGCCCTCTAGTCCTCCTTAAGAGAATAAAAATATCATGGCCGGCAACTCGGTTCTACCCACTATCTTTGGGTCATATGATCACGATGGGGGCGTAAGATCAGAAGATAGCAGTGCATAGTGGCGAGGTTTGTTTTATTTGTTTTACGTTATAGTGAGATAAGACATTCTACTTAACCGATAAGTGGCTACTGTACAACGTACCAATAAGGGTTCCAGTTGACACGAGTTTAATTTTCTATATTAATTTAAGCTGTAATTGAAGGCAATAATAGGAACATTCTAGTTATTGCTGCAGTAACTAACTCTCAAGAATAGATGCCTGTTCGGAAAGTTCTGAGTGTACCGAAATCGTAGGGCAGAAAAGTCCAACTCTTGACTTCTCAAGAAAATTCATTCTCTGGCGAGTCAGGCTTAGCGAATTGATCCTTCCCCGCTAAAGCACTATTATCCGCCACGGGCAGCTGAAATATAGGCGCGCATTGGAACGTGGCGTGCAGATCTAGTCTCAATAGCACTTCATAAACGCTAGCTAAAAAACAACTGGTTAGTATTATGCTGTCAGCGTGTCAACACGCCATTAGCCCGCCCATACCAGAGGTCTGGGGTGGGCTCTCTGTTAACGATGAACAAAAACCTATAGGTACAGTTTTTGTGCCCTGTCAGATCCTGGTGTGTTCTGTAATATTTAAATCAACCAGGCTACAAAAAATGAGGATTCAGTCGCAGCCAAAAAGATGTTGGTCTCCGACCTTCGTCGATGATGTCATACCTGCTTGCCTGTGCGAGTTTCCTCAGTTCTTTTAGCCTTCTACAGATATGAATTATTTTGGCTCTTTTGTAACCTGATTTTTTTTATCCTTGACTGTTTTCCTCTCATATACAATCCTTTTGTCCTGTAGGTTGTTGCTAACTACTACGGAAATGAAAAGGAATACGTCCCTGTCAGCACAAAGACGATCGATTGGGCCAATGCCGAAAATGTTCCACCTCCAGACACTCCCGTCTGTGGATTCGATGGTACCCTCTGTCGTCAGACCAGTAAGTTCCGTACCCCTTCTCACTGTCCTTCGACAGCCATGAGAGCGTCTACGATTCTGCATAACCAGTAAAAAAAAAACAGAGAGTCACTGAGAACTCCTTTATTGGTACAGCAACTTCTTTGTGAAGACTGCGGTACAATACTATAAGAGCCAATCCGAACTTAACAACATTCTAATGTTGGTACTTCATCTCCTAAGTAGTTCTCCTGACAGTGGAAAGCTAGTATATGTATTGCTTGTGATTACCATCCAACTACCTTCTTTTTTCTGGTTGAATGATTGTTGACGGGCTTTTAATTTTTTTAGTTGTCAGTTTCGCCTAACTTTATCTTTTCATCATTGACCTGAAAAGGTTACGACGTGAAGTTTATATTGAAAAGTTGAGAGAGAGAGTTCTATAGTCCCAAAAATGACCCATCTTTTTAGTGCAAAGCTCTTTCCCCCGGTATCGTGTTTTACTATCATAAGAAAATCCAGCACTGGGCGGTTTTTGCGTTCTTTTGCGGCCGTGGAGCATAAATACGGAAAGAAAATTCACCTCAATCGATTTAACAGAATACTTATTTGTTCGGCAAGATTATTTTCTTCTAATCCCGAAAATTCCACTAGATGGTTGTCTGTTCCTGCATATTATCACTGTTTCAGGCCGAATTTTATTTTGATTTTTTAATGAGTTCATTCCTTGTGTGCGGTGCCACTTCTCTGACTATGAGTCACTGATCCACACCCCATAGGCTTCAATCACAACCACTTAAAGCTACTTAAGCGTGGCGTTCATCGATTTATCCTTATTAGGAGTGTTTGGCAGACTTAAATAATTCAGTTGACCTAATTGTGAGCCTAGTAGTCATTCTGGTGGATTCTATATGATTGCTTAGGGAATTCTGCCTGAACAGTCAGATTATTGTATTCGTAATGTTAGATTCCATACGAGCGGTAGGTTGGGCGGGTAACTCGACCCAATTTTGATTAAATTTACGGCTCATGGTGAGCCTCGTAGCTCAGTGGTAGAGCGTTGGCTGTACTATAGCCTCCCCTGCTGTGTGGGTTCGACTCCCACCGAGGCCGCACTTTTTTCACAGTTGGGTCAACTGAACTATCTTAATGGCAAAGTTGACTACGGCCTTTACGCCTTGGCGTCCCCCTGCTGCTACGTGGTCTAGAGTCACTTATAATGGATGGCTTAGGACAATCCTTTTGCATACAGTTTTGGAAATTCGATAGCGTGATTTGTATGATGAACTGTAGAGTGCCAATAGAGGAGAATATGCGAGTTCCAGGCAGCAGTTCAGAAGAAGAAGATGCGATTAATGGAACAAGGGCTTTATTTTCCTGACGTTTCGGATTCCCTTCGAGAATCCTTAATCATAGGTGATGATAAAACAGTCATGGTCATGCGCAGATAGG